CGTACAAATATTTAAATATTTAAACTTTTTTTTACTAATAAAAATAATATTTGTAAATATGATGCATATATGCCTCTCATTGTATGTATATATGTGTATGTATATCGATAAATGTCTTATGTATTTTCAGTAATTTATGAATATATTTATGTATATATGTGAACGATACTTTCAATATTAGTAGATAATGCAGTTCAATTCGGTGAGCTTAAATTTTGAAAATTTTTTTTTTATTTAATTACATGACAATTTTGATCAAATTGCTTATATGTTTATATGACAATGCTTAATTCATGCCAATTCATGATCATGTGTAGACAATAACATAAACCAATGAAAAGTTCTGGGAATTACATTTTTAGTGACCGACAAAAAGTTGATATTATGGATTAAAGAAATTAGTTTTGTTTATTAAGAGAATGAGTACGTACTTCTTTCTAAATTATATTATCTATTTTCGTTAAATATTTTTATCATTGCTAAATTTCACTTTATACTTTATATAATATATTAATATTTTTAATGAAATATATGTAATTTTTTTATTAAGTAGTTTATATCTGATACATTCCTTGTAAGCTTAAAATCATATTAGTGAGTATCATTTGTAGTTTTGTCATTTTTTCGAGAAACATTTATCTTTTTTTACAAAATTTATATTTATTTATATATGTATTAAATTTATATATTATTTTACCACTTCAAAGTTCATATATATTGTACAGAGGAATTTTTTGCATATACTAGTAGTATGCAATAAATTATAAATACTATATAAAAATGTTTAAAACTAAACATAAGAAGCTACAAAATTAATTTGCTAATGTTCCCGAAATGTTTTAATGACGAAATAATAAATAAAATTTTATAAAATGGACGGTTTTGGTTGGATTTTATAATAAGTCTTTTTTACATTTCTTAATACATTTTAAAAAATAGGAAGTGAAGTTAAAAGCTATAAAATTTAATGAATAGATATTTTATTTTTTACATCATCATCAAGTCTTAGAAAAATCAACACGAAATTATCTGGCCCCGATTTGTTGAATATTTCATTTGAACAAAAATTTAAAATCAAATAAATTAATTAAGAAGGAAATATAAAATAACTAAAAAAACTTTTTTTTAAATCTATAAGCTCTAAAAATTGTTAACCGTTTGAATTGTGTCAATATATTTATTTATTATATAGGCATTGTTATATACTGCAATATATAGTTTAGACAAAGCGCAGAAATGTTGCAACTGTTGAAAACTATGTCGCAATGCTCTAATCTTTTCAGTATTGAGTCCTGAACCGAAATTATTTAATAAAATAAAAAAATTCATATTAATAGTATAGTCTTATACGATCAACACTTTAACTCAAACTAAAAAATAATTTTACAATCTTGCCTGAATCAGACTAGAAATAAGATAAGTATTATAGTATTCCCTGATAAGGACCATTAGCATCGGAAATGTTACGGAGTATTATACTACATATTCTCAAATTTTTATTACACTGTACTATTTGAATATACATGTACTTCACAGTGTACAGCAGCTCAAACTGATTGGGATAATGTAATTGCTTGTTGACAAGCTAAAGGATTCATGCCAAATCGATCAAAAGCCAGAACTAGGAAGCTTCTAATGCTGCACATAATTAGTATCCAACTTGTACAGCGTTTCTCACTGAACATTGTGATGTAAAAATTCATCTATAGAACCTAGCTATTAGAAGCGACGATAGCTGCAAACTTCGTTGCGAAGAAGAGGAAACAGCAGAACACATTCTGTGTCACTGTTCTCAGACTTCGGTACATATCAACTGCCTATCCACATATAACGGAATTAAGCAACATCTCTCCAAAGAACATAATGGGGTTTTTAATTGCTACGCATCTATTTAGCTAATGTGGATATATCATACACATCACCACAAATTACTCTTGTATATTGGATATATAGTAAAAACAAATGAATTTTGACTTAGTTACATAGTATTTTAAATAATTAAGGTCGAATAAACTAATAAAATAAAATTTATTTATTGATTAAATTAGGACTATCATTATATCAAAGAGCTGTTTGCCTCTATTAGTACCTTCTTGAAATGAATAGATATAAGACTTTTACTTTACAATGTAATTGATATTTGTCGACGATTTTATTTAATTATATCTCAATATTGTATAGATAATAAAGCCAGTGTGTGGTTCACTTCCATTTCTAGTGACTGGTCAGCGGCTTAGTTAGTATGGATACGACTAGTATGGAAACGATTGAATTAGCAGTATCTTATGAAGTAAATGATTTTATATAAGATTATTGTGACTTAAAGCATAAATTCTTTTAATCTTATTAAATATAGTTTTTTAATATCTGTGGTTCACAATGCCATAGTTCTTGGATATTATGTAGAATATTCTCATATTCTAATAAATGAAACATTCTTTAAGTTTGTGTTGTTTGCTAATGATTTAATTGAATATGACAGAACTAGTTGAACTAATAGAGCTACTAAATGAAATCATTCCTTTAGTATTTTTTATTTAAGTTGATTTTAATAGTTGTGAAGTTAAGTAATTCAATAGTTGTAAGTCATCATTTTTTAGCAGACTATTATGCCAGCTTTTAAAGGAGTTCATTGTGATACAAGTAAGCTATATGAACAAAAATATATAACAAAAGTTTCACATCTTTTAATTTCATATATGTACATTCTATTTAGTTTTTAAAACACTTAAATTTATCCAAATTTTGAGTTGGTAAATTTAAATACTTTAAGTACAAGAATCCATTCATTTTATTTTTAAAAGTAATTTTTAAATAAATTCATTAATTGAACTATTTTATTAACTAACTAAATTTAGTCAAATGAAATGTTAAGCTAAAAGTCGAGAATAAGTTCAAGCTTTTGGGAACCCCGTTCTTTAACACATTCAGCGAAATCTTCAGTATTAGCATTGGCCAAACTCTCGCCTTTATAAATACTTTTGGCTGGCTCTAGTTCGAGTTTCTTCTACCCACTATTATGAGGAATTATGGATTCAAAACGGCTTTCTTAGCTAATTGAGGAGAATTCGTTCTTCCCTTCACTTTAACTAACTAATCTAAAAGAGCAATTGAAACATTAAACTAGATCAAGTTATTTTATAACAAACTGCCGAACTGCCGAAAAAATAATTTAAATAATATTATAAAAAGAAAAATATTAGAAAAAAGTATTATTTTAAAAATATAGGTATAAGAAAAAGTAATCTAAAAATTTTAATTTTATATATCTACATTGCATAAAATCTTATTATTATATGAGTATATAAATAATATTGTATATGTTGTTTTTTTCTAAGACTTGAGCATTTTCAAACAAACTTTTTTATTGCTTATTTCTATACATAAATATTATTTTTATGTACAAATACTTTATGTGATTAAAAATAATTTTTAAAAAGGACATTATAAATATATGCACAGGTTAAAAATATTTATAAAAAAATATTCAATTAACACTCTTTACTTTATGAATATAAAATAATATGCAATAATAAATTCAGCAAATAAAATATTATAATATGACAATATATTTATAAACAATATATACGAACCTTTTTGTTTTTAATAATTTTAAATTTTTTCCTGTAGTCTTAGCTATTTGTTTAAAAAAGCAGCATAAAAAGTCGCGGTACAGAAGCAAAATCATTTTAAATCTTATAAAAATTTGAATTATTTTTACAATAAATAGTGGTTTGCACTATGTTTCATAAAAAAGATAATAGATGTATAGTGTGTATAGCGTGTATTGAGTATAGCATTTAAAAAGTATAAAACCCATAAGTTTTACATAAACTTTTGCTTGAAATAATTGATTGATTGATTGACTGAATGTTTGATTGATTGATGTGACAACTGAACTGCTACTCGAAGATTTGTACGTAAGTATTTACAAAAGACATCAAATTTTCCAGCATTTTGTATAAATTTAACAATTTTAAATAATTTTTCGATTAAGCAGGAATCAAAGAAATTTTAAATATTATCCTTTGAAAATTGCCTAATGATTTTTTAACTGATCGTCTTGCGTGCATTTTTTGTAATAAATTTCTGATTTTGGAATTGATTTTAACGAAGTTGTTGCTTTTAACAATTCAATTCAATTAATTTTGTCATATAGTTTTCTTTTCATATTCAAAATATTTATTGCTTAAGCTTATATTTAATTATAGTGCAAAATATTTTTAATTTATTTGTATTAAAATAAAATATTTCACAATCAACGTTACAGGTGCGATTTGTATTTTGTCACTTATGTTTCTGTTCTTTATAGTTTAACAAATATAATTTTAAGTGTCCTTTCACACTTCCTTTGGTTTTATCCTCAAATAACTTCTTAATAATCTGAATCACTTTTTGATAACTAATAATTTAGGCCTAACCTATAATTTATAAATTTTAGTTGATAGCATTTACTGAATAATTTATCAATTAACTCTCTTTATTAACTTTAATATTTAATTTAATTTATTTTACATTAGTTTTTGGTTATTTTATGAATTTTATATTCTATACGCAAATATCATTTCTTATTTAAGCAGTTTTCGGCTCGGCGGCAACAATTGTTTTTCTTTTTCTTTTGTTTTTATATAAAAATTAATCGATTCATCGATTAATCGATTTATAAAAGTATTTTAAATTAATTAGAAACTGTTAAGAGTAAAAATTAAAATAAAACAAAAAAAGAACAAATTCCGGTACAAAATACGAAGCAATTGTGTTAAGCAATTCTTAGTTAAGTTTATGGCGCTGCAGTTAAGCCTTAGTAAAATTTAATCTTAAACTATTATTTTGAAGTAGTTTGTATTTTAATAAGTTCAAGTTCTGAACTTCTCTTCCACATTGTAATTGGAAATTTATAAGGATGCAGCGTAAATGCATTAAGTTTAATTAGTTTTAAAGTCAATAAAAGTTTTTATTAATTTTCAAAGTATTTATCTATTTTTAGTTTAATTGCTTCTTCGAAGTTGAAAAGAATTTCTTTTTGGATTCTTTTAATTAGTATAGAACGCTTAATATTGTATAACAATTTTGATGTCGTTCCTGATTTTGTAGTTCAAATTAAAAAGGTTTTCAAAAAGGCAACTAAATCAGAGAAATAATTCTCATGCTATTGCACTACCGGACATTGTTGTCGCCTGACGTTCACTCTGCAACTCGCGGTTCCTTTCGTGTTCAGCTGATTCCGAGCTGCAAATATAAAATCAATCAGTGAAAAATAATAATATCTCCAAGTGTCATTACATATGTAGTATAAATATAAATATATAATGATGTAGTGAAATATGTGTGAAGGTATTAAACTGTTTTTGTGTACTTTTTGTGTTCTAAAAGAATATAGGTATATTTTTTATGAGATTTATGGCATTTTCAATTGGGGTATCCTGGGATAACTCTTTTAATCAAAATTCACTTTCAGTACAATTTTTATTTTCGATTGGTAAATCTATATAACACTCGAGATTAATGCATTACACTAGAGATTTATTAATAACACTCTAGATATTTTGTCAGAATAGCAAGATTACTCTGAAATTAACAGCTGTTTTATATGACGACAAATAAAATGTGATTTTGAATTGATAGTGAATTTATGAAAAATATAAATATCTACTAACACAATTTTACAAAATTTAGATACAAAAATTTTAGATTATTCTGAAAATTGATTGATTGATTTGGCAGATCTAGAGTAAATCTAGATTGAATCTAGATTTACCAATCGAAAACGCCATTAATCTCTATAATGAAGAAGTAATATAAAAAAACTCTTCTGGAAATAACTCTAATTAGTTAATATGCAACTTATTCCAAAACTATACGGATTAATAAAACTTAAAAACCACCCAAATTTCGTAGAGTTTAAAGAAATGTGTAAGAAGAAGAAGAAGGCTGAAGTCGAGTTTTATATACGGACAGATACAATAATTGGTAATAAAAGTTAACAGAAAGAAATATAATAAACTATGTACATGTCCAAGCCATGAAATTTGCTTCTATATTAAATAAATTTTAATTTTTTATTATTTTATTCTCTTCAAACTTACGAAATAGCGAATGAGATTACAAAATAAATATATTTAAAATTGAGTCATAAAATTGAAAACTATAAGTATTGATAAGTATTGATATTAAAAATATTGTAAATTAATATAATAATTTAGTAGTTACTGATTGCCAAATAAATTTAAATATTATGATTGCTTCTTAATAATTGATCAAAATTCAAGGTATGATGAATTGATGAGGTAAACTATCAAATTAATACAAGAAAATCTTGTATCTTCATTAATTAATTAATCAAATATCAAATAAAAATAAATTATAATAAATGATTATGATGATTATTAAATGATTATTAAGTGAAATATATTGGCCGACCTCACAACTATTGGTGATATTGCCAAGTATTGTTTGGCTTAATTGCGCACATATATAATTTTTTATCAAATACCTATTATCGAACGAACACTGTGATATTTAAAATGCTAACTATCATAGTAACTCATTACGCCAATGTCAAAACAAAATTGCACTGTTCTCATATGGAATTTTGTTAATTGTTCTTATTTCTTAAACAATAATTGCATTCATTGCATCATAATTAAAACAAAACGCATAAACAAAAGCTATATATACGAGTATAAGTGTAATTAAGTATAAATTGTTTGTGTTTTTGCCATTTGATCTCCATTCAATGGGTTGAAGTATGAGCCTAAGTTTCAAATTAGAGAGGGCATGAACTCTGACACCAGCTGTTAAAAAAATTATAAATACAGTGAAATTCCTCAAAACGGACAGTTTTTTAACCGGACAGCTTTAATAACAGGTCAAATTTCGTGAACAAAGCAAATTCATTCATTTTTTAATACAAATATCATTCCCATAACCGGACGCTGTAATAACTGGACGAGTAGAATTCATTTGAAATCATTTCAATCAAGAAATCTTTTATAAATGAACAAAATTAAAAAAAAACCTAACAAGTTTCTTAAAAATCTGCTCTTTTCTATAATACAAATTCCATTTGTATTTGTGTAAAAAATGGTTAATTTTAGTCACCAATAATTAATTAAATATAACTTATAATTAACAAAGTTATTCCAAATATAACGACAGCAAGCCAGCCCCTTGATCAAGGGGCAATCCAAAATACTGAATTTTTTATAGGTCCTTACTTTTAAAATACTTGCTACGTAAAATTGACATTACAAGGTCAACTTTAGAGTTGACCTGCTTATTTCCTCAAAGCATCTTAACATAAAGTAGAAACAACAACAAAAACATTCTGCTCGCAATTTATGCTAAATTTCAGAAAGGCAAATGATTTCGATGCTTTTCTCCAAATAGACAGAAATATCTGCACTGAAGCGTCATTATCATAATGGACATAAGATCAAAAGGATCTAATGAAGAAATATGTGAGCTCATACATAACATCGTACATAAAACTTCAACTTCATTCAAAATATCATATGAGTACAATTTAAGCGGACATCTCCCATAACCGGAGAAATACACTGTGACGGTGAGTGTCCGATTATGAGAAATTTCACTGCACATCAAATGAATATAACGAAGATATATATCGCGTATATATTATTATAGGAAATACTTTTTATTTATCACTCCCCTTATCGAATATTTCGTTAAACAGTTTCTTTTAAAACAAATCTCATGCTTAACGAAATCCTAGCAGTGACACTACTACCTTATAAGTAGTAAAAATTTAAGAAAAAATATATTTTGATAAGATAATGTATGTCCTAAAAAAAACTCTTTATATTGACAATAAAAAAATATGTTACAAGCGTTAGTTATGTTTGTTTATGGAAGCCATGAGCACCGCTTCACGAGCACATGGTACCATTCAATGAAGGTGGAGACGAAATCTCCTATGTCTTCCCCATATGGTAGGTTGTGTTGGAATGCTGCTCTTAAAAGTCCTCCCGGTAAGGTAAGGGATTATATTGCCTTCAAAAAGAATAATTCTCTTCAAATATTGATAGCAACGAAAATGATATGATGATATATTGAGAGGGATTTTTCACAATGATATATATTCTTTCACTGTGCTATTTTAACTTATGCTCTGAAGCAATCTACACCGAAACCTTAATTGAAATGAAGATTAGCCATTGCTTGTATGTATGAAAAGTTCAGTTAAATTACATAGAGGTACGTTTCTCAAACAAAACTATAACTATTGTCAATAATAGTATAAACTTGATAAATAAAGTTCGGCTACATGGAAGAATGTTTTTTTTGGAAATAACCCTCAGTTCTTATTTTCAAACAGAAGCCATAGTGACTATGAAAATATCATCTCTTAAATACTATTAAATCTTAATTCTATATCGTATTGAACGTTTAAATTCTATTCACAACAAAAGTATTAGCTCTTAACTATTTTGTATCTATAATAATAATGGAATAAGACAATTGTATTTAAAGCTTTTTTAAGTGCAAATACAATTTAAATTCAAATATTGGTAAAATAAGAATATTCGCTTCAACTTCTACTACATCAAAATATCTAATATATCCTACGATTGAAATGTTAAAATATGACAAGAATGCTCATAAAACCCAATAAACGGCTTCTTCATAACTCTTACAATATTTATTAATTCCTTACTTTGACCGCACAGCAATTGGACTTCCCGGAATATCAACTGGATTGGCATTGTTGTTGTTAGTAGTAGAGGCCCGGCGGCCATTGCCGGATTTATAGCTAAATATTGAATCGTTTTCGATTTCGTTTTCGATCTGTAAAACAACAAAGTCAAATGTGATTTGGTCAAATCAATAATAAAATATTCTCGCTTACTTGACGTTTGTAGGACAAACGTTCACTGGATACTGAACCACATGAAGAGCTTTCGGACACAGCTTGCGTGACCGTGGGAACTGTTGGTGGGCTGCTTGGCCCTGGAAAACGTTTCGAACAAACTTGTGATTGTATGTGTTCACAAATGCGGCGAAAACGGCGTATGTTGCCTATAGCAAGGAGGCAATAATTCATATAATTACTCAAATTAAAATATAAAATTCTAAAATAATTGCACTGACCTGATAACAAAGTAAAAGTTAAAGCGAACAGCATATCCGCAATTTCTCCTTGCTTACAAATTGCGCTAATATCAACCTAGAAATCGTTATTCCGTTGCCGTAATTATGGGTTATTAAATAATTAGTTCATTTATAAAACTTACCTGGAACTTAACATGTCTCTGGAACATAACTGGACCATTACCATTTCGCTTATACTCTACTCGAAATGATGTTGGAGAAACAACGCTATGCGAAAGTTCCGCCATCTGAAATGTAGATTTTACATATGTTAAGTACGTGGATATACATACATCGATATATTTCTTAATAAACTTACGGATAAAAATGCGTGAATTAAATGCGCTTTCACTGTTGCAATCGGTTTCCCTTTTACTAGTATAGTGAATGTCTCATCCTTTTCTGTCGTAATTAGGTTACCAAACCACGAACGTTTTGTCAATTCTGGCGAGGACTCTGGCGTTAAATGTACCTCATCGACTGAAACTAGCAAAAACAAAAAAATGTATGTAGTCATAAATTTGGAATAAATAAATTCGCTCATCAACAAACCTTGCAGTTTTCTTCTATGAAATCTAGGACTACCAAGAAAACTATTTTTGATATTCGTAAGTCTTGTTTTCCAAAGTTGTCCACCAGGTGTATTGCAAGGTGAACCTGAAATAACAGCTGAACTGTTGTTCATCAGTGGTGATGCGGTTGGATTCATAACTGTTAGGAAAGAAAGAATTGATTTAATGGCTGAGTTCTTATAGGAAAACTAAAAATTTACCACTATTGGCTTCTGGATCATGGAACATACTTATGGCAATTGTTGGTCCAGAATTAGCACGGTGATGTACTGAAGCTGAGTTGTTACCAGGACTTCCTGGTATACAGTTCGACTGCATAGTGGAGCGATCGTTGCGTGTATCGTGACGATCTCGTATATCTCGCGTGCCATCACTACTCATGCATTCCACACCTGTTTGTGAAGAGTGCGAAGGAGTACGACTAACTGATGGATGATGTATAGAACCTGAACGATCACGTTCCGTGTATGTTGAGTGCCGTGAAGAATGTCCAGAGGTGCAGGCAGGAGATGAGGGCCTTGATATAGCGTTGGCTTGTTGCTGAGCTGAGTTGATAGGCGAATTGCAACGGGTTGGGCTATGATATGAAGAGGATCGAACAGAAGAAACCGAAGTAGGTGAGCGTCGTTGGTGATTTCTTGAACTGCTATAGGACCTGAAGCTGTGTGTTGCAATGATAGATTGACAGCACGTTGAAATGATAAATGAGAATGCAATGTGAGAGCGGTTTACAAAGGTACATATATGTAATTAATGTATAAAATAATGATTATGTAATGAAATGTGCATGGCAATGAAATGAGTAGCACATGCAATGCCAAAGAAATCAATTGCAAAAAAATTTGAAGTTTGAATGAAAAAAGGAGTGAAGAAGCAAAAAAAACAAAAAGTTAGCTAAAACGCTGTTCAGGAATCACAAACTTACTTGAATGCTTGCCGTCTGGGGGTGAGTGGTGAGCCTTCTGAAATTTGACCGTAACTAGTCGAGTTTGTTCCATTTATACGGCATGTATCTAAGCGTTTTCTGGGTGGATCCACTGCATCTAGCTCACTGCGTGATTTTTGAGCAATTTCATCGTCATCCTCCAACGCAGGCCGTCTTCTCTTTCGATCCAGTAACAAAAAGTAAATGACCTTTTCTGTATTGTGACTGCAAAATAAAAAATGTAAAAATTTAATATTTAATTTAATATTTAGTATAAAAAAATAAAGTTTTTATAAAGAAAAACTTTGAATTAAATTTATACGCTTAATATTTTTAATATTCGCAATATAATGTATGCAATTCGTTTTTAGAAGTACGCATTTTTTTCAGTACGCATTAAATTTAATTTATTGGGACTGTTTTAGAAGAGTTTCAATAATATAAAATAATTCACTTGATAGCATATTTTATATTTTATGTCTAAACTGAAAATAAAAAGCAAAAAATTTTTATTAGTTTTGAATTCTGGATGGATGTCAGTTATTCTGAATTCTGGTGTTATACCGTTCTAATGTAACATAACAATGGAATTTGAGGCTAGGTTAGGTTGAACTGGCAGCCATGTGCACCAAAGTACAATTAAGCAGGAATAATATGATATCCATTATGATGTAACCAATAATATCACGTTCTAAAAGGAAACAGTCATAAACATCCAGTTCATAAACAGTCTCTCTTTGAGAACACTGTTTGGGACTTATTCTCCCACTCAAGTGAAACGAGAACCAGTCGACAAGTCTATAAACTTTACTTTGTCCTTAACTGTAAAAACTGACAGGTTTTTCAGGTCAGTTAGTAGAGCCACGAAGATTTTTAATATTCTTTTTACCAATAATGAGAAGTACAGTTTCCTCCTCATCCAAAGACTCATAGCTCCGATAAAAATTGTTAATGGATAGACCAAGACTTAATACTCTGTGACCTTTCCGCAACAATAGTACTGAGTTAATTTCACTTTTCTTAAAGTAACTTTTCTTAAAACTAGTCATATTCCATATAATTATTTACGAATTCTTGTTGTCTCATTTAAAATTCCATTTCTTTCGTCATATTTGAATTTAATTCAATTTCTATATATTTAGGTAAGTAATTGTAATAGTAGTATAATTTAAAAATAAGTTTGTAGTTTTTAACTTAATATCAAAACAAAAAATTACCCTTAATAAGGTTATACATAACTATATTGATAAAATAAGAAAACAGCTTACTTCGAACTTAGTAATTCTTGTATCAGTTTATCCTTTTCCTTAAAACAACCTAGCGAACAGATAGCATTTAAGACATCGGGATCAACTGCAGATGCGGATGGAATTACATGTGTCTGCACAACTTCCATCATTGGCAGCTCCAATTCAAGTTCACCTTTTCCACCAGCAGTGACCCAAGGGTGGCGATTTATTTCGGCTAACTGTAAATATAAATAAAAACATGCTGAGTTGACCCAAATACTTAAAAAATTTTACAGTGTACGTGTCAGCAATGCAAAGGGTCATTTCAGTTTGACTTCGATTGACTCATCAACGTCATCATCATTATTAGAAGCAACGGAAACATAATTGTTGCCCGAATTTATTGTTACAACAAAAGTGCGAATGCTTACCGCACATTGCTATATTGAAATAGGTTTGTTTGTTGTAGACTATGACTCACCGTTAAACGCCTTTCCGGATTTACTTCAATCATGCCACGCAACAAACTCTGGCAATCGGGTGGGACAAAATGGGGTATGTGGAAGACACCCCGCTTCACCTTCTCCAACAGCTGCCTTAAATTGTCATCGTCAAATGGTAGTGCACCCACAAGCAGAGCGTAGAGTATAACGCCGCACGACCAGACATCCGCTCTGCGTCCATCGTACTTTTCACCCTAAAATCACAAAACAACAAATTTATTATTTTTATTTTGACTACTTCTCGGTCACACATCCATGTTAAGTTTAAGCCAGTTGAAGTATGTTTTCCTCTATTAGATAGAAAAATCCCCAAGTGAGATTTTTATTAGGATTAGGGGGTTGGTGCAAGAGCGTATGCACAAAATTTGATTAAGGAAAAATTTTGGTTATTTGTAATGCAAATTTTTATTTTGGTAATTTTGTGGGATTTATCAAATGATTCGCATTTTTTAAAGTAAATATTTCGAGTTTATCCTACAAGACAGAAACAACATAATAGTAATATGAATAAAAATAACCCAAAAAACTAAGGAAGGTAAAAACAAAACATTATTAAAAGAAGAATAAGTCTATGAGGTTGTTTCAATCATTTCTACTTTAATGAAAAATAAAGTAGTCTTAACGAGTACCTTTGTAGTGTTCTAAGACTTGAGTTATTATTCCTATAAAAGTTTGTTTATTTTATACTATAATTTAAAATTAGGTTACAATAATAGTTTTACCTATAAATTTTCCATACTTCGAGTACTTAGTGGTTTGAAGTCATGAGTGGAATGGAAAGAAATGTCATTAAGATGGAAGGGGTGGTTTTAGTTATTTTTTATTATTAGTATGAAAACATAAACTTCTTAGGGTTTGCTTGTAAATTAAAAATTGAATACAATACATATATAAACTTTATTTCGCCTTGGTTAATGATGTTTGTAAAAATCAAATATTATGCCGTTTTCGGTTGGTAAATTTGGTGTAAGTTTTTTAATCCAGATTCATATTTAGTGCAGTTTTCTTGTTTCATTGATAAATCTCGAGCAAAATGTGTAACACTCGAGAATAATTTATACCACTCTAGATATTTTGCCGTAGTAGCAAGATTACACTAAAACTCATAGCTGTTTTATATGACTTGACAGGTGAAGTGTAATTTGAATCGACATATATATTATGAAAAATATAAATGTCTACTAACAAAACCACAAAAGCTTAGGTTACTCTAAAAATGTTCGATTGGGTAACAAAATTCAATAGATCTAGAGTAAATTTGAATTGAATCCAGATTTCCCAACGGAGTATTTCTACTCCAAAAAATACTTCCTTCCATGTTAAAAACTTTCTTTAATAGTTAATTGTTAATTTATATACATGGACTAAACTTTTGATTACAAATAAGTATTTGATATGCTCTATATATAAGGCATGCTTGCTTCTATATCTTTAGATAGTAATTATATATAATAATTACATATATTTATATTAAAAGTGCTAAATTGGTAAGTTTGTATAAACAAAATTCGATTTATAAATTTGTCGTGTTTGGTTTGATTTCTGTTTCTTAACAGTCAAATTTGAAGAAAGAATAGTCAAAATGTATTTAATATTTACTTATAAAATCAAGAGTTTATGGTGTTGGTTCGTATAATAATAATATGGCAATCTGAATCGATTGGCTTTATAATTAGTAATAGTATAAAATACTATGTTTTGGAAGTACTTTTTTGGTGTAAATGGAAAATTTTCTTATAGAAGCTCTTTCACCTAATAACCACTGCCTTTATGTTCTGAATGCTTGTAGGAAATAAAAATAACTTTAATAGAAAATTTAACTACACAAAAATTTAACTACCCTAAGATGTAACTTTTTTATAACTTTATATCTTACTCATAACAAACAATAAAAATCACCTGAGACTCAGAGATTCACAGATTCATCTTTCATTTTTCATGCAAACGGAAAATGTTTGGCTTATCAAACTTGAAACTACAGAAACCCAAAATAAAGCTATCTAAACTTTTAAATAGATTCTGTATAGTTTGTGTACATTCAATAATAAATATATAAGAACCATCTACTTACTATATATCCATACTTAAGTTTGGGAAAGAAAAAGTAACTCCATATAACAATCGAAGTTAAATCCTAAATTGCAAATATTTGCATATCAAACCTAAATTTGCATAAATGAAATCAACTTATGGAAATAAAATATGCAAAAATGCAGAAAAATTGTGCAGATACCGAGGAATTTCCAAATACATTTGTAATTTAGAGCACACATTTGCCTCGTATGTAAGGCACATCCTTTTGCGTATCTCGCACCGCCTCGCACACGCACGCATGTTACGGATGAATCATAAATTTTTAAACAATGCGGCTTCAAATGGATAATAAATAAGAAATGGAAAATTTTAGTTTCCGAACAATAAAGAGAAAACTGCTTTGTCTGCGTTACTGCGATTCCGCATATGCCATGACTTAAGTCACATATCTATAATTCAGAACTGAATGCTTCAAACAAAGCATATGCAGGGATGCGTGCCATCGCTTTACGTTTTCCTTTCAGAACATTTTTAGAGTCCTTTTGGCTTTAACATAAACACGGCATCAAATACGCCAATTAAGTTTACGGTAAGTGGAGCAAGGATGCAGCTAGAACTCGCCCTTGCTGCAAATTTTTATATTTAATAATTTAAGAAGTTTAACAAACTTTTTTCATGGCACACAAATGAAGTGTTTGCCTTTATCTTAACCACTTTTAGTTTTATTAAAAGCAGTGGCGAAGTCCTGCAATTGTTGCTGTGCCTTCGTTTCGTCCTTGGGTGTTTGTGTGCTGTTACCAATTTGCAGTTGTTTTATCTAAGATATCATAAATAAAGTTAAACTGAACTTACCCTGATGACTTCTGGGCATGCATAATGCGGTGATCCACATGAGGTTTCCAGCATTGAACCGGCGGGCTGCAATGACGCCATGCCGAAATCTGCAATTTTTATGTTATTTTTCTCATCGAGCAGCAGATTTTCGGGTTTTAAATCTCGATGGCTGCAAATGATTTTATGTGCATAGAGGAATAAGAAAGTTAAACAGTTAAACAGATTAAATTTTGCAAGATTTGTACACAGTAAACTTTACCATATTGAGTGCGAGTGACAAAAATCTAAGGCAGAAATAATTTGTCGGAAAAACTTTCTTGCTTCCTTCGGCGTAAGGCGTCCTTTCTTGACTAAATAATCGAACAGCTCACCACCAGAAACATGCTCCAATATTAAGTACAAATATTTTTTGTTCTCATAGACATCGCTCAGTCCTAGAACGTGCGGGTGATCGATCAATTTCATAATGGCAATTTCACGTTCAACCTAAACGTAGAAGACAGAAAAAATAAATGAGAAATTAATGTTGACGTTGTGCGAAATCGAACTAATTTCTCTTTTTTTCAAGTATTTAGTTACATCACATATATAACAGTTTCGATTATTTTCTTTATTTATTTATCATAAGATATAATTTATCAGTGACATGCACAATGTCCTTTGTTTTATGTATTCGTACCGAAAAACAACTTTGTCCTTCAAACGTTCAAGATACATTCTGTCAAGTATGAAATGAATTCAAGTGCAAATACTCCATCAACGCGAATAAAATTAATCACTTAATACCAAAGGATAACAAAATTGATTTATTTTCTATGTAGTTATTTTAAATTACACTTTTTATTACTTTTTATTTATTATTTCACTTCATGACTTTTAAACTAAATGAACTGAATCCAAAGCCAACTTGAAACTTACATAAAATAGATTATTTATAATTAAAATATAAAACTTCGACCAAGCATCGTATTTATATGCGATGTATATAGAGCGAAGAACCTAATAGTTCAGTTCCTTATTCTTATGTCTCGTTTTCACTATGTCATTTTCAATGTCAAATATTGTCAGTGTAATGAAAACGGGTAGTCATATGATGTCATATTCGCGTTCATGTCATGTGATGAAAACGCATTTGACACACAAGTCAATTATAATTGTTATTTAAAATGACATAGTGAAAACAAGACATTAGTTAACTTTAAAATTAATTTTAGTGTTAACTTTCAAATAATTTTTTTTTTTTTTAAAAAAACTTTTTTTTTAAAAACTTTATTTTATTATATACAATCTATTCTATGCATGAATAATAAGTACTACTTATGGCAATAACATTATATGATTGGCATTTCAAATAACTAAATAAATAAATATACGATGTTTGATAAGTCAGTGATTTTTTGAATAAAACAAATTATTTTCGGCAAATAAACATTTTGTTTTTCTACACCTTTTAGCTTGATACATTTAGTTCTAATTTTCTTGTTCCCTCCAAATAAGAAAATTAGAAAATCAAAGCTCTCAAAATACGCGTTTGTTTCGGAAATGACTTCTTCATTCGACTCAAATCTCTTACTTGTTTGGAAACAGAAAATAGTCGCAGGGAGTTAAATCTGGAGAATATGCTGGATGGCGTAGCAGAAAGTTGCCCACTGGTAGATTACAGCTGACAGCAGCACTGTTGCATTTGGAGTAACTGCGCGGGAAATTCAAAAAGTCACTGACTTATCAAATCGCCCTTAAATAAAAGGTTTTATACATTCCGATTTGACACATAAACGGACATAACCCCTTTTGTTAATTGAACAGTAACAACCTTCAAGCAATTCATGTCAAAATTTCGCGATCTCTTGATAATTATGTTGTTGGATATAATGTTTCTAGTTAACGCCTTTTAGTAATTTTTGAAACAATGGACACAAACACTTTCGTATGTTGATTAAGTATTCTTTTTTGGTTGGAAAAAATATTGTTGAACCCAATCGTTATGGAGACAATATGTACACCAAGTAAATTGAATACAACTGATACAAGAACTGATGATACTGAACACTCTAGAAGTTTAATCTTAAAATATTTGCCTTACTGATTATTTAATTTATTTAGTTAAGCTTTTAGATGAGACTAGGTCCAGTTATGATCCTCTCAAGCGACTATTTTCAAGTTTATTAAACAGGATTGTACTGCGATATCAACAAACAGAACAGGAAGTCTATATAATAAGTGCATCTGTTAGGGTCACACTTGGAATGTGAGATGCATAATTCCATGTATATATTTAAGATAGAATTTTTTGTTGCATTGGAGAATGAATTTAAAGGTTTTCAAAACACAAAAATAAAATTTATATTGATGTTATGGAATAACATCGAGTAATTACAAAGCATAAGAACATATCTATCATAGTTCTAAAAAAAACAACAACAAATATATATATAAGAGTAATTAAAATGTGTTTTTATTGAATACTATCGCGTCTGTTCGACACTCTATTAGAGCTATTATATTCAAGCCAGAGAGGACACTCAAAAGCATTTCAAAGTTAAAATAAACTGAAAATTATAAAAGCTTTCCGAACATTTCCAATAAGTTACGAACTCCCTATTAGATCCAAAGATCCAATCAAAAATGCATAATAAACTAAATAAAAAATTAAATTACAATTGCAAATTAATTAATAAATATTTTTTTATATTTTTTAGGCCTCTAATTAATTAGAGCTGTGCCAGAGAGAACTTGTTTATGTGGTTTAAGGAATATGATCCTTTTAGAAAGTCGAAACCGTATAGGTAGGAAAACATATAGAAGTAATAACAGATATAATAAATAATATTGCAGAGCGATCTCATTTTTTTGGCGATAGTGTCTACTCTCTGACTAAAGCGTTGACCTAAATATTAAATTTCTCAAAGTCTGAAATCTGATTTTACTACTGGTTACTGAAGATTTTTCTAACTTTTTTCATATCTGATATGTGTACCATTATGCTGATTAGTCTTAATACTTTTCACTGAACTTCTGCAGGATTTCAATATTTCATACAATTGCATTTTTAATAATTGAATACCATAGGTCTATATATAAAAAACCTTATAGTCTTATAAACCTTAACTTATTTTGGTTTCGGTTTAAAGTTTGAATTGGCCTTTTTTGTTTTTATGTACTATATATAAATGAATGTCTAAATTGGTTACGTTATCTGCTTAAGGTATGGAATCTCGATTTGGTGTAATTGCAGAAGTATCTCTACTAAAAGCGAAAGTGACATGGTTTTTTTTTGTATTCGTTGGGTTTATTGCGCTGTAAGGCTAGCTATTTATCCAGCAAAACAATTGATTTCCAAATTATCTTGAAGCTTTTCAAATATATATATATCTATATGAAGTCAAAAATTACTGTGCCGAATAATAAAGTGATTACTTGTAGTCTAAATCCAAAAATATTGTAAATATTATAAAATAAAAAAAGCACACCACTTTGAGTCTATATTTTATTTTAATTAGAATGGCAGATCTCGTTTCAGTTCGTTGTTAATTTACTAAATTCATATACAAACATCGATCCAAAAATTTGGTATTCTTAGATTCAGTATAAAAGACAACAGCTTCACTTAACGAAGCAAACAGAGAAGAATATTTGCTTTGAAGTATTGATTGAAATTATTCCTAAGTTCAAAATATGTCACAGCATTGGTGCTTACTACATATAAACTATTTAATTAATTATTGATACTTAATTAAGCTACGATTTTAGCAGACATAATTACAGTAGATTTATTCTGAATGTGTCAATTCGAATGCTGAGGTCAATATGGCCAAAAATCTCTTAGTGCTTCAGTTAGTTTGAGTTAAGGTTCTGTAGAATAGAGCAAATGTGTGGTTCGAAGCTTAATGTCACAAATTATTTCTGCTGTGGATTTTTTAGTAATTCTAAATGTCCTTACCACAAATGTGTCAAGTAAATACGTATAACATTTTTTTATACAAAATAATGTATTTTCAAACAATTTGTAAATTGATACATTTATAACAGTTCCCAAATTTCTTGGTATAAATTTTAGAAAGGTTTAAAATTTTATTTAATGTTTTATATTTTATTTATATAATATTTTTATAAGCTTTTGAATACTACTTATGTTTTATTTCATATGCAGTATTTTAGTTGATATATTTTTGTCATTTTATAACATATGTTATGTAAAATGTTCATATTTTGTTTGTTAAGATTTTTACAACACATTGACATCATAGACACATAGCAGACATCATAGACCTAGCGTGTTATCGATTAGCTCGATAGGCAGAGCTCATTTATTCCCATTCGTCTCTTTGTGCATCCATCAATCTGTTTCAATCTGTTTCTTCTTTGAATGAAAGACTTTTAAGCTATTCGAATGAAAATTTGCAGCCTTCTTCTTAGGAACGAACCAGTTGATCATGTGTAAGATTGCACAAAAACGGACTGCTATATCTATAGCTGTCATATAAACTAGACAATCGGTTAAGAGTTGTCTACGTTTCCAATAAAGCTGTTTCAGTGAAACTTGATACAAATTGTACTTACATTAATTCAGAGCATGTACAAGCTTTAATACATATCGCCTTAAAGATATAGCTGCTGCAATATAAACATCTATATATATATATATATATATAGTGTTAAAATAAAATTTTGTATACAATACGAGGCTCACTATTTATATTTGCAGTCTAATAATGAAAAAATATTAACTTGTCCTTGAAAATTGCTTTATTGTATCTCGAAGTATTCTCCTTTATGATTAATACACTTTTGCATGCATTCAAACCATCAAAGTATTTTTTTCAATCTTCTGCAGACACCTTCAAAAATGGTTTTTAAATGCAACAACAGCTTCTTTCGCTAACTTATGGTTATATACCATTCGGAGTTGCCCGTCTTACGTTCCTGTAATGGTAAGAATATGGTTGCCACATAACTAGTTTTTCTGAAAAAACAAATGACCGCGGCCATTTGTTTCGAAGTGCTTCAAGTGCAAACAACTTTTGTTGAACTTGGTTTATCTTAAAACACCCATATAGTCATATGCTGTTAAAGTTACGGCGCAATGCATATATTCATGGTTCGTCACCAGTTATAATTTTAAGTACAATGACGGTCTTTTGGAGCATCGCCAATGTACTTTTTGAGCGTTTGAGTGTACCAATCGACGGGATCATCTTTTTGAGATTTTTTTAAATGATGCGGGATGGAATCCAACGAGAAAAAACCAACAAACCTTTCTCACGGTAAGGTGAGATAGGGTTCCCTCAATCTCACAGAAAGAGTATGCCGCATGATGATCTTGCATTATCAGTTTCTGCACAGCATCAATATCTTCTTTCACAACAACTAATTTGGGGCGACCTTCACGAACACGAATTTCTTCTGTGAGCGAACTGCGGCCACGAATAAAACCATTGTACCAGCGTTTCACAGTGACAAAGGATGGAGCTTCAATGCCAAACGTGGTGCGAAAATTAAGTTGATCGGTGCACTCTTGCTCGATAATTCACGTCGAACACTCAATTTACAAATCACTGTAAATAACACAAATTATTTACAAATATTTTGACAAAAAGTCTAAGATTGGTTACGTTTAATAATGTCAAATTTTCGTATGGAAACGTCAGATGACAATCAGTGTTGCCAAGGCTCAAAGTATAAATAGTGACCCTCATATGCTTACTTTTATTTAAGAGTACATACAAACAAACTTTCATTGCTATCGGTTCAATTTTAGATGTAAACTGCCGATTCGGATGCACATGGAACTTGAGTATTATTTGAGAATGAATCGATCATATGTATTGTTATTTAAAGTCAGTATCACAAACAATGATCACTCGGTTATCAACCTAGGCATCTAACAGCAGGCGCGTTCCCTACGCTTTACTACTAAAAGAGTATTGATTTTAGGTTCAATATTGATCTAAATATTTTGATATCAAAAAATAATTATTTCATGATCGACTCACACATGTTGGCAAGAATAATGAATTAAAACTTATTCAATTTAAATATTGGAAATAGTAAATCACACGAGTATGTATCTGAAACCGAAACTTCAGAGCTCTATGATTGATTAATATGCAGAAAGTGAAGTTCTGTAGCTTTAAACGGTTCCCATTAACAAAGAAATTGAAATATAATTATTAAATACATATTTTAAAAATTTAAAAAGTTTATAAATAAAACGATGGATTCACTTAGTTTAAACTATTCTATATAAACTATAGTAATATATATTATGCGATCTCTGCTGCAATAATTGGTTTTGTTGGAGCTAAAATTCGATGTAATATTAAAATAATCGATCAAATTAATCCTTGCCATTATTCTTTAAATTCAGTTGAATACTTTTAGTCTGACTTAGAGGATATATTAGGGAATTATTTGTTGTGAAAAATAGAGTTAATAGCATAAATCGAAAATCGCTAATAAAAGCTACAACTTAAATTGTTTTATTAATCTAGAAATGTTATGTTAATAGTTACTTCAACGACTGTGATCATTTATATTTTATGAATAAAAATAATAATAATATATGAATAAAAACTATTAATAATAATTTGATATCTGTCTAATCAATCGTAAATTTTTTTGAATTTATTGGTTAAGCATAAAAACAAGAATTTTATTTTTTTGGGATTAGAATAATCCAAAAAAGAAACAAGCGGATACACTCAACACTGCCAAGACGGATCAAATTGATAGAACGTCTGCTAAGATCTCTAGTCGCAATTTCGTGGCTGTACGGCTTTAATCTAGGCAATGTTAGACCGGAAGCTTATTAATCTTAAAAGGTAATATTAAAAGGTGTTTGTTCAGAAAACGACGTTTGCAGTGCAAAATATCTACTATAGATGCTATGCTCTGTTCCGTTAAGACGCAAAGCCAATTAATTTCTATCTATTCTATTCTTTCCAATTAAAAATACAAATTTTTCCAATTTTTCGTACTCAAAATTTTTTGTTTTAATTAAATGTTGAGAGTATCAATCAATTGAAACAATATTAATCTCCTCAGAAGCAAAAGCGTTTCAATCTGTAATAAATTAATTTGGTATTATCAACTTTTCGTTCAGAGTGCTAAATGATGTTGAAGAAATAAAGTCACTTACAAAATAAAGTTATATTAAGTAAAATGCTTTAGCAATAAGAACAACGGACGAAAGAAAATTAAAGAAAAATTACCAGGGAAAGGAGTTGCGAAGGCAACATGTAACCTAAATTTAGAATTGCGTGTTCAGGACGCAGTGTCCGTACATTTTATTCAAAGTCAGTACACGTGAAGATTATTAAGTGAAAGGTAAAAAAAGATACTAAACATTAGCAGTTCAGGGTACATAAGCCTTTATTTTCCTTAAAAAGGCTCAGTAAGCATATTTACGACTGAAGGCAATATTGCTTTATGTTAAATTATCGGCTTGTTCTAGCCATAAATTAATGTAGCTTTTAAGTGTTTATAAAGAAATTATAGTACAACTACAATCTACTGGTTTGGGAAAGGACTTACCTTCATTAGTACCGATTCGCTGAGCTTCTCTCGATTGATTATTTTAATAGCCACTTTCTTGCCAATGACGCAGTGTACACCCAACTTCACAAGTCCTACATAAGTAAATAAATAATATAAATTATTTAGTGCTGGAAAAACCATATTTTCCTATTATTTACTATCGGAGACTGACATTCCTGCAAAACAGCGAACATTCTTAAGGTACGATTTCAGAAAAACAGTTTGTAGTTTATCAATGGAGTTACTGCATAGCTTTGTATGCATTTTTTCTATTTGGTATTTGTTCGCCATTTTACAGAGGAGGCCACGACACATAACACATTTAGCTTACCCGTCTGTCCTTTGCCAAGCGTTTTTTCCAGACGATACGGCCCCACAAATTGGCAATTTTCTGCCGTCGTATTGTTTTCCTTCTGCATTTTCGTACGTACCTCCGCCTGCCTGTATTTGCTTGTTTACTCTACTGGCCCCGCACACAAAAAAAATTCCATACACAACCAAACGCTGAACCCGGATTTGCAGTTTTTAAATTCGTGCTCCGGCAAATTGGGTTAAAGTTTGCTCTTAATTACTTTTGTTAGAACTTTTATTAGTTGCTGCAGCTGTAGTTCTTTCTCCTGGTATTTAAACATTAATTAACTTCAGTAAATAACGAGTTTTCACATGACTGCATTTCCCTTTCCGCAGACGAGTGTGGCACCTGCAACCGAACAGAAAACATTAGAAAATCATTGTGGATAATTTACATTCGACCCGCGCTGTGATAAGGAGTCAACATACACTGCAGTTCGCAAGTCAAGTCAAGTCAGACGTTCTGATTTCTTTGTGGTCTACGCTTTAACATTACGTGTAAAATAAGTGTAATTAATGGAGGTTTTCTCCGAGTCAAAAGGTGGAATTGTCGCTGAAATTTGCCTGCAGTTAAATTTTGTCTTCAATCTCGTCTATACGCAAATCAATAAATCTGAAGTGGGAATTGAAGTGTCAAAACAGAATGTTTCTACATTTTCCTTCACATCCTCTCATTTTGGTTTATACCTTATTTTTGCATTTTGAATGATGATTTTTCTCGATTTTGTTTATTATATAAACGAAGTCAAAAAGCAATTATACTTTCGTATTCACATTTTCATTCAAGTGCATTTTGCAGCGTTAAAAGGAAAATCGAAGTTCCATGACATCGCATTTCAATAGGAATCAGAAATCTTTTTCACTTAAATGAAAATTGGATTTATGCAACAAAAAATTGGAATAACTGTACAAACCGTAGTCTTGAATTACTTTAGGGATGTTCAAACAAGGAGTATAACTGGAATACAGCATTGTATAGAAAGACCTTCAGTAACACAAAAAAATAGAGAAGCGAAGATAAAATAGAAAGAAAAATAGTTTAATAGACTATCGATGCATTTTTAATGATGGCCATTATCTTAGGCAATTTTTGTCAAATAATTTTTATAAATGATTTAATTTTAGTAATTTCAATTATACAACTTTTATTGTATAATTTTGTACTTTTGTTTTATATAATAATAATTCAACTCTTTTGTTTCTTAATAACAACATGATACGATAAACTGCAATGATCTCAAAAATTGATCTCCCAGTTTACAGCAAAGCAATGTAATTTTAATACGGACACTGATATATCTGTGGTAGAAAATGATTGCAGCAATTTCGAGTTTTTAAGAGGACTTAGAAGAAATACATCCCGTCACCATATCAGTTAAATGCTGATATGTTTTATCTACTAATAATCTACGTATCGACTCTTCAACAAGGCAAGCAAGATTTTTATAAACGACACTTCGCTAATAAAAAAGGATACGATTTGTAAAATTAAATGCTACTATACTTTACCTCTTAGGAAAACTTAAGCAACCAAAACTCAATGTTTCATATTAACATAGTCAAAATGATATAAAAATGATAAATGTATATAGAAACGTATCAAAACGAATATATGGAGCAACCAATATTGATTCAGGAGTTACTTAATTAAAAAAGTTCTTTATTGCATATATGAGTAATTGTAACCACCCATTTTAATCTGAATTAAGTTAGATTCAATCTTACTACAGTACTGATTAGAGAAAATATAACTTTAGCTACTACATGAGATTGTATACCAACTTAAGTCCATTGTCATGACCATTATGCAAATTTCATATGAGAATATACGACAACTATGGAAGCAAAAGTTTTAAATTACTTGTTGACTATATAATTATATAACCGGTCACTCTCTTACGCTAGAAGTTCCCTACTATGAGTATTGCGAAAGTTATCGAAAGGTGGAGGAAGTAGAAGCAGTTAAAGATTACTTCTGCAGCTCCCATGTTATAGCTAGAGCAAATATGTTCAACATGTCCTTCACAGAAGTGATCTCCGGTAAGATTAAAAACATCCCTCGCTTTATAAAAACCTCAGAATGGTGTCATGTTACTCAGTAACTTAACCTAATCTATTAAACGATATCATGTCTACCAGTTAGTAAACCGCAAAAGCGCACAGCTTTATCCAGGAACCTCCAATGTATTCAATTATGTATGAATATTTATATATTAGATGAATAACTGTCACTGAGATAAAGCTTAGGGTTTTGTCTTTTTAGGATTAACAAAAACAGTAAAGTACTATATATTATTACCACCTTTCTTTCGATTATTTTAAGAGACATTATGGAGAAAAATGGCTCAAAATTATTAACAAAATTTTATGAATATTTTCGACTTGCATTAAGAAATGTTATAAGGGCTATTAATAGCAATGTAAATTTAAAAACAAATTTAGGGATCTTCAATCACAGCAGCATTTTGCGATTTACAATTAAGTGAAATTCAATAAAACTGCCAGAAGTTTAAGATATATCCATTTATACGTAGTAGCTAACGGAATATTTCAAAACGGACAGATATTAAAAAATGTTTACGATGATATATGTGTTTAAGTCGTTTACCATATGTATGATTGGGAAAAAAATCTCTACGTTAGAAGAAAACCCTACAAGAAGCTATACACCTTTTTATGAGCATAACTAAGATACGGTTTAGGGGCAAAGATCAAGGAACAATTTTCTGTAGGATATAGGCACAATGTTGCGAATATTCCATGGTACTTCTTTCATTATAAATTTTTTTTTTTTAATCACACCTTTAAAAGGGGGTACATGCTTGTCTATTTCATACCCCCTTTTGAATCAGGCCATGTACTTTTAAGCACAAGTTGAGACAATTACAAATATATTACCAACACTTGTTCCGTAATACTGCATAACAGAACCTTAAGTGAAGACTTTATATTTACAACTGAAATAAAACAAAAGCATCACTGGTAACGACTTTCAAACATTTTTCATTTGACACATTGAATTCGGAAAAATATTCCAAAGAATAATCTTAAGTTGAAATATATAATAGATCATGTGTATAGAATTACTTTTCCCCAACCATTTGAAGCGATCAGAAATCGTTTACAATTGGTATTCGCAGAATTTGGACTCTAAATCAATCCCTATATCTTTTACTATAATGTAGTATAAAGAAAGTAGTTACTGGGAATATTTATGGGTGTTGTGGAAAATAGGCTGTCAGTTTCAGAATAGAAAGATTGTTCATTTAATGGAGTCGCGGAATGTTCGTGGAACACGTTCATGCGTGTCATGTGGAACAACAATTTAATTTGCTTATTAATTCCATATTGTTTCGAGTATATGCAGTAAACAATCTCTCAGTGTTAATACTCAAGAAAGTAATGATAATCACAAGATTAAATCTAGTATTTTATTTTAGTAATTTCAGTATATTATTTCAGTAGTTGTTTTTGTTGCTCAGAAAGAAGTATTGGCACATATAGACCAACTACATAAAAACAAAATTTTTAGAATAAAAACAAAATTTTTAGAATAAAAATTTAATAATATGTACATTCATCCCTTTTAAGTTTAAGTATATATGAAAGACATATAACATCAGAAAGATTGATAAATTGCAATATGCTTGCCCAAAACGTCATTAAGAAATAATATCTTTATTGTCTACTAAATTTAAGCAACTCATTTTCTTACTCTTAGACATAATTTATTTTACTATTCCAATAAACATAAGAAACGCATCTGTGCTGTCAGATGTCTAGGTTGACCTGGTTTTGTGTCCAACAAAATGTAACAGTTAACTGCTTCAATTACCACTGTGTAATAGGGAGGCATGCTATGAAACTAGATCTACCCTATAATAACTCTTGTTGCGGCTGTGGCTCTGAGGATGAAAAGAAAACTGTATTCCAAACCTTAATCTTCGGGACCCCTTTTCTTACCGACCTGACTGCGCTGTCATTCTGTAATATTAGGGACTTAACCAAATTCCCTAATATTAAGATTGGTTTACGTTCACTTAATGTCACTCCAATCTAAACTAATCTATGGAACGCTGAATTGGATACAACTTCAAATATGTTCTTTATTTCCTTTGTAAGCAGTTGTCTTTAATTTTAAACTTCCTTGTATAAACTATCATATATTTTAGTTGAGGGTCATATCACAAGTAAAAAGGATCTTTTAGTGAAGATTTGTTAAATTAAATTTAATCAAATTAAAATTCATGATGATGGCTTCATAAAAAATACTTTTACAAAATTTTATCAAATTAGATAAAAAACTTAGAAATTGATTTGGTTTTTATTAGACGGACAAATAGACGGAGAAATTTGGGGGTATCGCTAAATCGGTTCTTTTTGTTGTACTAATCCGAAGTATATTTAATATATGTCTACTTCATTACTTTATAAACATTTTGTTAAAGTTATTATATCCATTAAATATTGTGCAAAACTAACTAATAATTTTCATAAAACATATTTTTTCCGCTTATAACGAATTAATAATTATTGTCATTATTACAGCAAAAATGATAATTACTTGTAAAATGATATAATATTTTCGAAATTCATTAATCGAAATACAGAATCTCCGCATAACAATTACCATGACAAATAATTTAAATCAACGTTAAGTCCTTAAGCTCGAAGAATTCAATCGAAAATATTTGCATAGAACGATAAGATGGTTCGTTATTATTATTTCTTGAAACTTAAATAATACTTAAATATGAGAACTGGTAACACGATACACCTCAAAGCAGAAGGCCAATTTTTAGTCATACTATCTTCCTCGAAAGGCACCCAATTATAAATTAATTCATGCGATGGGTTTATGAGCCTTTTGTCAGGCAACAACTTCTCTTTTTAAAAGTGGCTTAAGTGGCATGGCGCAAATGAGCAGCACACCCGCCCGAGAACTCACGCCTCCAGTTGAAAAAGTGAACCCAAATTTAAATTTGATATTAAAAAATTTCAGATGACAAATTGAAAATTGAAATCCTTACAAGTGAACCAGAAGTTCACTTGCAAGGATAAGCAGGAACTGTGTGCGTCGAAGAAGGAGAAAAAGGCGTGAACAAGCGGTTGCCAGCAAGCACAGCAACAACTGCAAGTGCTTAGACCGATTTCGCTAACCCAAATCCAAGTGAAATTATTCAAACTCTTAACTTGACGTGAATATTTTATCAGAAGGAAAAGTGTTTTGCCAAACATAAAAGCCATAAGCCATATTCGGTTCATGTCCCAGCACAACATTTGGTATGGAATTTGCCAGTAGAGCTCAAGTACCACATACTCGTACATCACATCGTTACCGAACAAAAG